ATGTGGTTTGCCAGAAGAAATGGCAACTTCCAGAGAAAAAGAGATTAATGAAGCTAGTCCAAAGTATATCATAGCAGCATTGTTAGAAACATACAGTTAGGTAGCAATGTCAAGTGTCATGGGAGCATGGAACCCATGTGAGCATATTATAAAAGCTAAGGACCCATTTCCCTAAAGACACACACACACACACACACATACACACACACACACTTTGCATATAATTTTAGGGGTTTGGATGCCATAGCTGCTCTATGACATTAGTACATGCAGAATTGATTTAGTGCCTAGTCATGTGGGGGAAATATAAAATAACATAAAGAAATAATATCTATGAAAGTACTATCATAGTTCCAGTGCATAGTAGGTACTCAGTAAATTCTTATTTAATCAAGTCTGGCCCTGACCGGTTTGGCTCAGTGGATATAGCGTCGGCCTGCGGACTGAAGGGTCCCAGGTTTGATTCCGGCCAAGGACATATACCTTGGTTGCGGGCACATACCCAGTGGGGAGTGTGCAGGAGGCAGCTGATCGATATTTCTCTCTCATTGATGTTTCTGGCTCTCTCTATCCATCTCCCTTCCTCTCTGTAAAAAATCAATAAAATATTTTTTGAAAAATCAGGTCTGATTAATGGTTAACAGTAATTTTTGCCTTCAAATAGGGAATCCACACCCACCGTTTAATGTAGTCTAGTACAAGAATTTGCCACCAGATGTCACTATTGTTCTAGAGAAACGCTTACACATTCTCCACCCACTCCAACTTCACCCCAACCTTCATAGTCCCCATATGCCAAGGTTGTGGGTTTGATTCCTGATCAGGGCATAAACAAGAATCAATCAATGAATGCATAAATAAGTGGAACAACAAATAGATGTCTCCCTCTCCCTCTCTTTTCCTCTCTCTCTAAAATAAAAATTAAAAAAACATTAAAAAGGGGAGTGGAGGCCAATTGAAAGGTAAAAAGGATCCACTGGCATATAACAATTCTGACATCCATCTGGGCTAATGTTGGATCCAGCGTGGGCAAACTACGGCCCGCGGGCCAGATCCGGCCCATTTGAAATGAATAAAACTAAAAAAAAAAAAAAAAAGACCGTACCCTTTTATGTAATGATGTTTACTTTGAATTTATATTAGTTCACACAAACACTCCATCCATGCTTTTGTTCCGGCCCTCCGGTCCAGTTTAAGAACCCATTGTGGCCCTCGAGTCAAAAAGTTTGCCCACCCCTGGATTAGACCCTTGATGGGTCAGTAAACACAGCTAGGCCCTGCTGGCATGGCTCATTGGTTGAGCGTCAACCTATGAACCAGGAGGTCACAGTTTGATTCCCCTAATGGCATGTTCCCAGGTTGCAGGTTCAATCGTCCCTGTGGGGCATACCGGAGGCAGCTGATTGGTAATTCTCTCTCATCGCTGATGTTTCTATCTCTCTCTCCCTCTCCCTTCTTCTCTGAAATCGATGGAAATTATATATATATATTTTTTGTTTGTTTGTTTTTTAAACAAACAGCTAGCAAGCGAACAAGATGGGGTGGAAACCTAGGGTGGGAAAATAGGCTCATGTTCCATTCTTTGGAATTCATGTAAAAGGAATATGCATAATTAAATGTCTAAACTCAAAAAAAAAAAAGAAGGAAAAGAAAAAAATCATGAATTGAGGGAAGGAAAGCACATTGATTTATTCAAAAAGTATTTATTGAGTGCCTGCATTGGGCTGGGCACTGTGCAAAGTAACTAGATGGGTCAGGCCGGGTCCTCAGGATGCTCACAGTAAGTGAGGGAGGATCAGGGGCCCCTCAGTGGACATTTGAGCTGAGGCCTAAGCGACAGAGGGCGGGCCATGCTGAGATCTGAGGAAAGTGAGTTCCAGACAGAAAGGGGGCCTCCAAAGGCTCTGAGCCCTGCCTGGCTGGAGGGCAGGCGAAAGGAGCGAAAGTGGCATGAGGTCCTGGAGCAGTGGTTCTCAACCTTGGCTGCACATTAGAATCCCGATTCCTGGGCCTCATCCTCCGGAAATTCTGTTTCTTTGTTATGGGGTGGGGCCACAACATTCGTAACAAAGAAACAGAATTTCCGGAGGAGGAGGCCCAGAAATCAGGGTTTTAAAAAGATTCCCAGGTGATTCTAATGTGCAGCCGAGGTTGAGAACCACTGCACTAGAGGTTGGCAGGGCCAGATCCCAGCGGGGCCAGGAAGGGAACTTAGAGTTTTAAGGCTACATTTTGACAGTGTAGAGAAACGGGGGTGAGGGGGAAGGCCTAAGCATGTGTGCTTGGAAGCCAGGACTGTCATTCCGAGGCCAAGCACACGCTCCTGGGCCCGGGGCCAGCTTGGCGAGCCTGAGCCGGGAACCCTGCCTGGAGCCTCCAATCCGCTTAAGGACGCGACGGGGCGGGGAAAGCGCGCGCCCGCCTCAGCGAAGCTTGGGCCTCGGGGCCGCCGTAGAGGGAGCGACAGAGGCGTCCCGTTGCCTTGGAGCCGGCGAGACGCCGCTCGGCCTCCACCTCGGTGGAGCGGGCCCGCCGCGGGCCTCGGTCACCATGTCTGTGCTGGACGCGCTTTGGGAGGACCGGGACGTCCGCTTCGACGTGTCCCCGCAGTGAGTCCCGGATTCCACAGCGGCCTGGGGCCCCGAGGGCGCCGCGGCACGTTCCGGGCCGGCGGGCGGAGCCTGCACCCCCACGGCTGCGGCCCGGGCGAGGGTGCCAGCGGGTGTAAGCCTGTGGTGGGCACCTCGGGGACCCTGGATTGGCCGGACACGGCGGCGCTGCCGGGGCCGGCGTGACAGCCAAACGCGTCTACACGACACGGTTTCGGGCCCGCGCGATGCCTGGCCCGGGGACCGAAGGGCGCTGAGCCCCAGCCCCGCGGGCACCACGCAGGGCCCGGCGTCCAGTACACCCGAGCGAGCCTGGGGTGGTGGGAGGAAGGAGGGCAGGGACGTGGGAAACGGGTTCTGAAACTAGGCCTAGAATAACGACACACGTTGCGAACCCTCAGATAAATGACTGCCGTCCAGTGCTTGAGGCTTCTGTCAGTACAATGAGGGGGGTGGGCGTAAGCATCCCCCAAAACTCCTCACCGCGCAAACTTTATTTCCGGGGTAAGCCCCCGTCTAACTATTCATCTAAATCGCCAATAGGAAGAAGGAGCCGCCCAAGCTGGTTTGGCTCAATGGTTAGAGTGCCGGCCTTCAGACTGAAGGGTCCGGGGTTCGATTCCAATCAAGGGCACATGCCCAGGTTGCGGGCTCCATCCCCAGTAGGGGGCATGCAGGGGGCAGCCGATCAATGATTCTCTCTTGTCACTGATGTTTCTCTCTCTCTCCCTCTCCCTTCCTCTCTGAGATCAATAAAGATATAAAAAAATTTTAAAAAAAAGAAGGAGCCCCTTTCGGAGCCTCTCAAACAGAAGTTTTTGGAAGATGGCATGCTTTAAAGAGAGAAGAGTTAGAAATCTCTTGCCCAAAAGCCCAGGAAAAATGCCCATTTTGGATATTAAATGTTGGAAAACAGTAAAGCTAAGGTTCTTGGGTTAATGACCTGGGACTTATTAGCCACTTATGATTCCTTACCATGAACAGAACCTAATTAGATGGCAAAATGAAATGTTAACTTTCAAGACTTACCGTATTTGTGACTAAAAATGTAATACTAGCATGATCTTACAACCTTTAAGGAGTTAAAAGGGAAGAGAATTTATGAAGTTACAAACCATAGTTACATATTACACACATTCTATGACTTTTTCTGTTATTCTTGGGGGATTCCTGATCCAAGAAAACATCCATTTCGTGAATATTTTTAGTTATTAAACATTTACCAAATGCTTGCTATGTTCTGGTTACTGTGCTAATAGCTAGATACAAAATAATAGGAAATTATTTCTCTCCCATCCCTACCCCCATTCTAGTGCAGGAGATATACATTGACAACTATTTTTTTAAAATGTGATAAAACTATCCAAAAAACATGAACAAAAAGTTGGGGAACTGTAGAAACAGAATAGTTGATTCTGCCTGGGAAGGCCTCAAAAAAAAAGAAAGAATATTTGAATTGAGTTCTGAAAAGTGGTCAGAGCCTAGTCAAGGAAAACAGGAGGAAAGTATTCCAGGGGAAAAAAAGGCAGAGTCTTGGAAGTATAAACTTCATTGGCAAGAAGGCAATGTCTGGCAGGTAGAGGGTGGAGGTTAGTACAAATAGAAAAATAGGTTAGTCTGATTATGAAATGTTTAACTGGGGATTTTGGACTTCATTTTCCAGGCAGTCCGGTGACAGGGAAGACTGAAGCAGGGAAGTGACATGACCATATCTGTGTTTTCAATAAGTAATTGAGTTGGTTCTATGGAGAATGTCTTAGAAGACTCTCCTACATATTTTGCTAGGTTTTGTTTTTGTTGTTTTCTTTGATATACTGGAGTGCATTCTATCAGCAAACCATTCTTCATTACTTTCTTTTGTCTCCTGTTTCTAATTGTTTACAAAGTCCTGATGATGCTTTGCTTTCCTTCCATACTTTCCTCTATTCAGAAACCTCTGGGGGTTCTCCACTGCCCACAGGATAAGGCGCATTCCTATCTGACTAGCATTTATGGTTCTCCGGTTCTCCGTAACCTAGTTCTTACCTCCTAACCCAACTATATTTCTCACTACCTCTCAGTATGGACCTTCTTCTCCAGCCAGGCCAGTTTCCTCACATTCCCTTATCGTTTCTTATTCCTGTGCCTCTCTCCCTCTCTTCCTTCTTTCTCTCCCCCTTTCCTTCCCCTCCAAGTCCTACCTCTCTTTCTAGTTCTGGCTGCTCTACATGTCCTGGTCATTCCAGTCACACTTATCTCCAGGTTCTTGGAGTTTTGAATGCATGAGCATTTGGTACTGTATCCTTTACACTATTGGCTGTTTTATAGGTATATATATGTCTTTTTTTTCCCTAACTAGATTTAAGTGGGTGTATTGTAGCTTTAAAATTAAAGTATTTATATTTATTTTAGACAAATGAAAACAAGACCTGGAGAAGTCCTTATTGATTGTTTAGATTCAATTGAAGACACCAAAGGAAATAATGGGGATAGAGGTGAGTATATTATCTAATACATTTTATATTTCTGGTTTATATTAGCTGGAGAATAAGATATGAAAAGCATTGTATGTAATTCTGAGAGTGGGAGCATTAAATCCACATAAGACTTTTCTCAGACTGAAATGGAAGAAAGGGTAGGTATTAAACCTGTAGCCAGAGAATACAGGTTCTTCCCTCAGAACTCTGGTCCTTCAGTAAGCCCTGATTCTGACATCAGCTTCATCCAATGTAGCTGTTAAAAGTCCAGGAGCTCTGTTTGCAAGGGTCATGGGATAGTTCTGACTTTTGGATCTGCCTCCCCCCAAAAAAGAATATGGGGTAGTGGAACATAAATAGGTCATAGCTGTGCTACATGGAGCTATGCTTCCTTTTAAGAAATCCAAGAGTAATGCACAATCCCTAATGACACCTAGAGATGGACATGTGGAGAGCAAATTCAGTGCCGTATGATGAAGTCTAGTTATAGGTTAAGGACAGAAAATACTGTGAGACGTCTGTGCATGTCACTGAGGAGCAACAGGGCTGGACTCTCAAGTCCCTCCAAAACAAATTTTCCCAAGCAGCTGTATGGAGCCAATGACCAGTGGTCAGCAGGTGTTAGATGCATCACTTACTGTTCTTCAAGATAAAAATAGGAAATTAGGAGTGGGAAGCTTAGTGTATCTAAAAAGATTTTTGGGGGGAGAGGAGATTTAGTAGGGTGGGACATAAACCTCTTATTGAAGAGAAAAAGTGAGGAAAAGGAGCAGACCTCATTCACGTAAGAAGGATCAGTAAATCCTAGAGATAGAACAGTAGCCCTTACTGGCATAACATGCTCACTGCAGCATTCGAGTGGCTGATTCCTCTCTCAGCCTTTCTTCTGGTCTGTTCTGGGATGGGATGTGAACAGCAGGTTCATTTATGAGCCTTTCTTCTCTGTGAGAACCTAGCATCATCACCAGCTACAGGTGGATCCTGTCAATAGCTAGAGCCCATCATTAAAGGAATGCTTAGATCACATTTCTGAAATGCTTCCTAATATATGCCAAGACCAGGTGAGAATGAGTATCAAGACCTAGTAGCAAACAAGAAGTCTTAGTGTGTGCCTTTGGGGATGGAATAATAATCTCTAGAATCTGGAGTCTAGATGGTCAGATCTTGAAAACACCTGAATTAACTTAAGGAAGCCAAGAGAAAGTTTTGGTCTCATACAGATTGGCAGGAGTTCTTATGTGACATTCCATCCACTAGTCCAAACAAAGACTAAGGGTACTCACTGAGTGCAGTACCCTACACTAGCACTTTGAGGTAGGGAGGAAAAAACATCTTCCTGGCCAGAAATCTTACTATTAATAAAAATAACACACCTCAGAAACAATTGCTCAGAAAATGGAATTTTACAGGAGTGTACAGAGCTTCTGGCTAATAAAAAAGTAAAAAAAAGGAAGGGGCCCTGGCCAGGTAGCTCAGTTGTTCGGGCATCATCCTGTACACCAAGAGGATGAGGGTTCAATACCAGGTCAGGACACATACTAGTATCTAGGTTGTGGGTTTGATCCCCGGTTGGAGTGAGTACAGGAGGCAACCAATCGATGTTTCTCTCTCTCCTTCCTCCTTCAGTAAAATCAATTTTTTAAAAAAAACATGTTTTCGAGTGAGGATTTTTTAAAAGGGGGGAGGGGAGAAGAATCCTGCCTTCTAGCTATCTCTTTCCCCTCTTTTCCAGAAGTGTGAAAATGACCAAGCTAAGTCACTCTCAAGTTCAGAAGCCCCATGTTAAAACTATAAATATCCCAAAAGATTAGCACATTTAATCCACTTCAACTGTAAGTGCTCTGACATGGAATTATCAGATTAGCTTTATGCACTGACGCTGTATGAGAATGAAACAGCCATATTTCAGTGTTTGGGAGATTAAGAGAAACAGGGAGAATTATATTTTGGTGTTTGGAAAGACAGGGAGAAAAGTCCATGCTTGGAATACTGGGTTTGGATTTGTACGATAGGGTCCTTTAGCAGGACAAGGGCAACGTAAGAATGCTGGAGACGATATAGCTGGACTCCACCAAGATGGCGGCATAGGTAAACACCGGAGACTGCTGCCGCAAACAACCACTTCAAAAATACAACTAAAAGACGGAACGGACATCACCCAGAACCACAGGAAGGCTGGCTGAGGAGAGACTCTTTAACTAGAAGGAAAGACAACAGCACACCCAGGCTCAGAGGAGGCGCAGTGTGGAAAATACAAAGGTACCGAGGTGCGCGCGCAAAGCGGGCTGGTGGCTGAGGGCGCGGTTGTCGTTTTCAATCAGGAGGGAGTCTCAGACTCTGAGCTCCAGATCCGGGCGAGTCTCTAGGGACTCAGACTCAAACGGGAGAAGTGGGATTGTCTAGCATCAGTTGGAACGTGAGGGCAGCTTTCTCTCCGAGGTTTGCAGCGGTTGCCGGGGTTCTGAGAAGCAGAGCCTCTGGGAACGGGACTGAGAGCAGCCATAACTGCTCCCTCCACCTGCCCTGTTGAGCCCGCCCCGCCCAAGCCCTGCGCAGAGCCATTTGCCGATCGCCTCAGGCAAAGGCTAGAGTAGCACCTCTCCAGAGGACAGAAGTTTTCCATACAGCTGATTCTCACAGCCAGTCAGCCTGGTGGTCAAATCCCTCTAGTATTAACTACAACAATTAAGGCTTAACTAGAACAAGACTGCGCACAAAGACCACAAGGGGGTGCACCAAGAAAGCATAAAAGATGCGGAGACAAAAAAAACATGACAGAAATGGAGGATATAGAGCTAAAAAACACAATTTTGAGGGCTTGCAATAAACTTGTGGAGAGCCTCACGAAAACTAATGAGACCCTCGATGCTATCATAAAGAAACAACTAGAAATTAAGCATACACGGACTGAAATAAAGAATATTACACCCAATAGCAGACCAGAGGAGCGCAAGAATCAAGCCAAAGATTTGAAATGCGAAGAAGCAAAAAACACCCAACCGGAAAAGCAAAATGAAAAAAGAATCCGAAAATACGAAGATAGTGTAAGGAGCCTCTGGGACAGCTTCAAACGCACTAATATCAGAATTATAGGGGTGCCAGAAGATGAGAGACAGCAAGATATTGAAAACCTATTTGAAGAAATAATGGCAGAAAACTTCCCCCACCTTGTGAAAGAAATGGACTTACAGGTCCAAGAAGCACAGAGAACCCCAAACAAAAGGAATCCAAAGAGGACCACACCAAGACACATCATAATTAAAATGCCAAGAGCAAAAGACAAAGAGAGAATATTAAAAGCAGCAAGAGAAAGAGACTCAATTACCTACAAGGGAATACCCATACGACTGTCAACTGATTTCTCAACGGAAACTTTGCAGGCCAGAAGGGAATGGCAAGAAATATTCAAAGTGCTGAATACCAAGAACCTACAACCAAGATTACTTTATCCAGCAAAGCTATCATTCAGAATTGAAGGTCAGATAAAGAGCTTCACAGATAAGGAAAAGCTAAAGGAGTTCATCACCACTAAACCAGTATTATACGAAATGCTGAAAGGTATCCTTTAAGAAGAGGAAGAAGAAAAAGGTAAAGATACAAATTATGAACAACAAACATGCATCTATCAACAAGTGAATCTAAGAATCAAGTGAATAAATAATCTGATGTACAGAATGAACTGGTGATTATAATGAATCAGGGACATAGAAAGGGAATAGACTGACTATTCTTGGGGGGGAAGGGGAATGGGAGATGCGGGAAGAGACTGGACAAAAATCGTGCACCTATGGATGAGGACAGTGGGTGGGGAGTGAGGGCGGAGGGTGGGGCGGGAACTGGGAGGAGAGGAGTTGGGGGGGGGGGGGGAAGAGGAACAAATGTAATCTGAACAATAAAGATTTAAAAAAAAAAAAAAAAAGAATGCTGGAGACTTGTAGGCGATGTACCAAGAACAGAAAAACAGATAATCAGAGTTCGTCAGTGGTTTTATAAGGCAAACTCTTTGTCCGCAAACAACCTTTCTTGCATGCACTACTGTCCTCCCTTTGTCCCTCCAGACTCAGCACCTTCTCCACCCTTTCTCTTTTCTCCTGAGAAACTGTATAGACTACATCAAAGGCCGCTTGTGCACTCTAGCTTCTGGTGGAAGAGCCACGGCAGAAGATCAAAGGGAGGCAGGAGAGTGCAGTCTGGGTGTTTATTCCCCACATTCTTTCCTCTCAACATTTGGCTCTTTAAAACCTTGTTCCTTCATTTGGTAAACTGCTCCCTATCCTTGTCCCTCTGGGCCTGGGTGGTACAGATCTGCTATATTCACTTATGGTTCCTGACAACCCACCCGTACCTTTGTAATAAATCCTTTGTATAGAAACCTCAATTATTCTAATTTGAGTGTGCCATCTGTTTTCTGTTTGACCCCAACTGATAGATGCAATGTCTACTCTCATGATCTTGTGTGAACCTTCCACTCTAGCCAGGCTGGGTTACTTATCATTTGTCAAGCATACCGTGTAATGTTCTGCAGCTTCTCTTGAGGACACCTTCCCTTTATTTTTGGAATCTCCTATCCCCTCTCACCCCAACATTCATACAGGTTTAGTCTGATTTTAGATATTCTAGGGGTTTTCAGGGAGGAAGGAGTATGACCTGGCTATAGGTTACTCATAGTTCTGTGGTTATAATTTGTTGAAGAAACGTTGTGTTAAGCAAAGTTAAGAGAGTTTTATTATTTTAGGGTTTCTCAAAGCTATCATAATATGCTAATTGTATTATAAATCTCTAAGGTAGTTTACCATGCTCAGATTTACTTGACTTTTTTTCCCCTTGGAGCTGCTGATACTGAGCCATTAGTTTCATGTCCACCTTATTTTGTATTGCAAAAGTAAGCTCTTACTTAAGGTAACCTATTTTTTTGTTTGCTTTTAGGTAGACTCTTAGTAACAAATTTAAGAATTATCTGGCATTCTTTGGCATTACCAAGAGTCAATCTTTGTAAGTATCTTCATTAGATAACACTAGACAACAACAAAAAATACTTTGTCAAGTGAACTTGCACAGTGGCTTTTGATACCGAAAAAGCTATACTATAAAATACGTGGAAAACTATATTTATTTATTTATTTATTTATTCATTCATTCATTCATTCATTTATTTATTTATTTAATCCTCAACCCAAGGATATGTTTGTGTGTTTTAAATATAGTTTATTGATTTTACTGAGAGGAAGGGAGAGGGATAGAGAGTTAGAAACATCAGTGAGAGAGAAACATTGATCAGCTGCCTCCTGCACACCCCCACTGGAGATGAGCCCTCAACCAAGGTACATGCCCTTGGCCAGAATCAAATCCAGGACCCTTCAGTCCGAGGGCTAACACTCTATCCAAACTGATTAGGGCCCAAGGATATGTTTTTTATTGACTTTTAGAGAGAGAGGAACTGGGAGGGAGGGGAGAGGGAGAGAGAGAGAGAGAGAGAGAGAGAGAGAGAGAGAGAGAGAGAGAAGTATCAATGTGAGAAAGAAACATTGATTGGTTGCCTCCTGTACTCACCTCGACCAGGGATTGAACACACAACTATGTATGTGCCCTGACCAGGAATCGAACCCACAACCTTTTTTGTGCACAAGACAACACCCCAATCCAGCCCTCCAATCAACTGAGCCACCTGGCCAGGGCAAAAACTTTAAACTGATAAAAGTTTCAGAAATCCTTGACTAACCACTGACTGCATCAAAATTTAAAAGAAATGTTTTTTTTTTCAGTCCAGTTTATCTCCTGGACATATAGGAGATTAGTACTCTTACATTGAATGATTTTGTTTGTTTTTTGTTTATCTTTGACAACTTGCTATGACCTGTTTCAAATAATCCCCAAAAAGGGAAATCTAAATTATAATAGAAAAGTACAAACTTTCATTGTGCTAAATTTTGTTTAACTTACTTTAAAAAACTATTTTAGCCCTAGCTGGTTTGGCTCAGTGGGTGGAGTGTCGGCCTGTGGACTGAAGGGTCCCGGGTCTGATTCGGGTCAAGGGCACATGCCCAGGTTGCAGGCTTGATCCCCAGAAGGGAGCATGCAGGAAGCAGCCGATCAATGATTCTCTCTCATCATTGATGTTTCTCTTTCTCACTCTCCCTTTCTCTCTCTGAAGATCAATAAAAAAAAAA